GTGGGAGGGCATTAAAGTAAAAGAAGCGATGGAGGAATGGTAAGGGCGTTGTTTGGTGGAAGATGAAGGCTACGACCAATAGGGGCAGCTACTAATTAGGGGAGAGTAGGGGCACTTGTGTAGTTCTCTCTTCTTCTTCTCGGCTTTTTTGGGAATTTGCTTTTCCCCACGTAAACCCCAATCAAAGCCCTCTTTTTTGTTTTTACCACACTCGACCAGCAGTCAGCTTCTTGGACTCACGGAGGCCATTTCAATTTGGGCCCACATTGACGGTAACTTTCCTTTTCCTTTTTTTTTTTTTAATTTTTTAATTTTCACTCCAGTTAAATGTTATTGAAAATGGAGAGGTTGTGGAATCAACCACCGCATAGTACGTGGATTGTGGTCGATAGTTACTTATGTAGAATGAGTTTACTGTCACATGACGTTCCGATTCAAATAATACATTTATGCACACTACAATAAATTATTGAACAGAAGATGGCACGTGATGGTCAGCCCGTTTCATGTAAACCCTTCTTATAATTGTAGGCATATAGCATTGCCACTAAAAAAACCAAGGGGAGGGGGTAAAGTTATTTATGGAGAGTGATTTCCGCAATCCTCCTCTTTTACATTATGTACTCATCTCATCAATTATGTCTCTCGATTCTACAAGATTGTCTAAACAAAAGAGGGGGAAGGAAGGGAATACAAAAGTGAAAATGGAAGTGCCAATGAAAGAATGACGTATGATATAATAAAACCCATAACAAATAAGATTCATTTTTTCTTCTTTTACATGAAATATCAGGCCATAAAGCACCTGAACAACAACGATAAGGAAATGATTTCCACACACTATTTTTACCTGCTCGTGTTTATTTTCGTCCCTTGATTCTCTTTTTGATTCATGCAAAAGGAGAAAAACATCGGTGTTAAAATTACTTCCCTAACAATGTCGAAAAGGTGAAAAGAATAAAACATCTATGCACAAGTGTGTAGAAAATCTGCTTGCAGAAACCTGGACAGCAAAGCCATCTCATGCCAATTGCCAAAGCACATACTAGAAGCACCAATCAATACCCTCGCCTTCAACATTGACTGAATCAATGGATGAACTTCAAGGCTTCAAGCTATGCAAACTCACTGACTCCTGCTCGAAACTCATGCTTTCCCCCGAAAGTACTCAATTTCATGGTGGTAGAATTCCAAGGGTGTAATTAAACCTGGAGAATCAAGTAGCTCCAATTGCTATAAACCTACTGTTGTTATGATCTATCAAAAAGGCACTTTTCTTTTGAACTGTGCAGATTTAAGCTTAGGAAGCAATTCGGATACCACCTTCTGCAAGGATACACAATTTAACCGGTTGTCACTTCCATCTACGACCAAATTTGAGAGAGATGTAATTTCCTCGACACCAAAATTTTCATCAATTAACTCATTCCAAAATTTGTCATCCTGCTTGAGATTAGATGCACTTATCAGTTCTATTACTTTCTCCAAGTTTGCCACATTCCTACCGGCACCACAACCTGTGGCGGTTGCAGCACCTACAGCATTTGCAACTGCTAATGTGTTAACCTTCGGCATATTGTGGATAAAACCATATGCAATCGCAGCCACGAAACTATCTCCACACCCAACAGTGTCTACGACATTTACCTGTCACATTTCAGTATAAGAACCAAGTATTAATCGGTGTATCAGCCAATAAAGAGAGTTGGAATTGAATTCAAACAGGATACAACAGAATATGAAGGTACTCTTATGATGCACAATTACTTTTGGCCAAAAGATATCATCTACCTAATATTCTTATTTGTAGGAAGGTTCAAGCTACATACATACACAAGCACGAGCACACAGAGCAAACAGATGTATCTCGAGCATGTATCACACTTTTGGAAACCTTTTCTTTTCATTGTTGTGGTTAAAAACTTAAATATAACAAATATGATTTTAGCGTGAAAGAGCGTGCATGATGGCAAACAACAAGCAATGTCCAAAATTTGATCCAAAGTTAGATGTAGAACAAAAAAATCTAGCAAGAATTAATAAACATGCACGAGTCTGATATCATAAAACAGGTAAGCTAAAAGTTCACAGGCAATGTCAAGTTAGAAACTGATACCTCAAACGCTGGTGCGCAAGAAATACTTGACCTAGTTATTAGAATTGAACCCCTTGGACCCATTTTGACAATCACCCATTTTGTGAGCACCCCTTGCTTGAGCAGCTCCTGCCCTGCTAATACTGGGTTTTTAATGCCCGTCAATGACTCAGCCTGGAAATCATTAATATTATCCCGATGTCTTAGAAAGCAGCAAGACAAGAGAAGAACTTTGCACACTATAAGATAGAGTAAACTAGCATAAGATTAATAGTGGGTAACAGTATATCAAACCTCATCAGAAGTTAGAAGAAGAACATCACTCATCCTCAACAACAGGTTAAGTGCTTCGCGTTCTTCTGTTGTACCAGCAGAAAGGCTTTTACCACGTGGTCCAGGGTCGAAGAAAATTGATGTACCAGCTTCGACGGCATACTCTACAGCTGCAGCTATTACACCTGGAGAGAGTTCATCAAAGCCATAACCATTGCAGAACAGAATCTTTGACTGTTTTATAGCAGTCTTTACTTGTGCAGATAATTTGCTCATCCAACTGAATGCAGGCTCCTTACTGAAATCAGCTCGGCTGATAAAGAAACCAAGTCTACTCAGATTGCCATTATTTACAAAGGAGATGAAATTACTTAAAGAAAAGAAAATTGTGGAAAACATTTACCTGCAAAAACCATGTCTTTGCAATGGATCGACAAGAACCCAGCACAAAAGTGTTTCATATGATGCAGCTGAACTGTCAACATTGGTATTGTTGTCACTCATTCCAACCATGCTAATTCCTTCATCTTGAAGAACATCTAAAAGGAACTGTCCATATACTTCGTTACCCACATGCCCAATCGCAATGCAATGAAGTCCTAGTCTTGCAGCTGCTATGGCCATATTGCAGTTTCCACCAGCTTCCCAGTATTGCTACATTTCAAACCATATAATCAAATTCGGAAAATTTATCTGCGGAGATGCATTTCATCTACACAAGATTGGAAGTATTTTACACTGTTCTTCATAGAAACTACTGCATAATGCAAAGCAATATCTACAAAAGAGAGAACTAAAAAGCTCAAATTAAGACGAAACGAAAGTATTGAGTGAGAAACAAAAACCATAATCATTATACTGGGTCGAAATTTATAACCTTGATCACAAAGCAAGCTGTAATCAAAGCATCCCAACAAAATAAAATACTCCAAATTGCTTCAGAGTGAGATGAAATTAGCAGTCACTGTAACAAATTCGACTCCTTTACTTCATTTCTAAAGAAAAATATCAAATGGGTTCAATTTCAATGGTACAGGAAATGCAAAGAATTCAAAAAATTAAGGTTACCCAACAAAAAAAAAAGAAAAAAAACAGGGAACTTTTTCCGGCATACTCAGAGGCTGCGAGAGAAGCAAACCTTATCCGGCGGGGAGGCGGATAACAGGTCCATGTAAGCTTTGCGGTCGCGGACATCGGGCGGGGGCAATTTGGGCACACTGAGGACGATATCCACGCAGAGATTGCCGAGAGTAGCAACATCTACGTTTTTAACGCCGACGGTCTTTGGCTTCCAATCGTGCACGGAGCCATTGGGGCCGCTGGAGTTAGGGGAGTGTTTGGAGACGGAAACATCGAGCGCTCTGGCGGTGCGGTTGGAGACGGAATGGGCGCGAACGCAAACTGGCGCGAAAATGAGGTGGGATTGGGATTGGGTCAGCCTGGGGCTGTGGGGAAATATCAGGTGGGAGTGAGGGGAGGATACATGGTGTGGGATTGGGGGATTCAGGGTTACGATGCAGTGATGCATTCAGAGAGAGAGAGAGAGAGAGAGAGAGAGAGAGAGAGAGAGGGGGGGGGAAATGGTGGGATTGTGGAGGGGAGAGAGAGAGAGAGAGAGGTTTTGAGTGGATTGGGAAACGAAGAACTGAGTGATGGTAGAAATGGCGTAAGTATTGAAAAAGATTTGGTTGCAGAGTCAAGTGGTGCAGCTGACGCTCTGCAGGTGTCCGTTGCTTGTTTGTTCCCACCAACTGGTGTTCGGTTGTTATCTTATTATTTAAAGAATTGTTATTAGCACTTCAAAAATCTTATTTGAATTCTAAATTTTTTATAATTAGAAAGAAAAATATACTTATTAGGAATGTAAAATGAGATTTTCGAAGTGTTAATAACTATTCCCTTACTTTATTGTTATTTCTCATCCTTCATTTTTTTAATTATTAATCACTCCCATAAATTTTGTTCAAGTATTATAATTTGAGTAAAATAGTAACATCATCTGATAGTATTGTGAGTACATTGAAAGGTCGCTCGATTCGTTGTTTTGAGGCATAAGTTGGAGCACCAGTCCATGAATTGAGTTTTTCTCATATTGGCTAGCCATAATAGTGTGGTTCAAATTCTCCTTTAACGAGAATCGAATCTAAAACATCTCACTTACAAATGAAGAGAATAACATTGGGCCGTAATACTAAATCTAAATTAATTTAATTCCAAGGATATGCATAGGGTGCATAAAAGTAGCTTGACTTGTTCTTGTAGCTTTACTAATAATAGTGGTTTAGATAGAAAGACAAATTGGTGCCCTATTAGAGGTCCACATGGAAGATGCATACTCTTCTACATGTTCCCTTGAATTGAACTTTCTTATTCATCTGAGAATATGGAACTTATTCTGTCATGATGACGATGATGGGTTGGTCATTGGTGGGGGCACAAGTCACAAAGTGGATTCCCCTCCTTGCTCCTTTCGAAGGATAGAATTTTTTTCACGGACTCACAACGTAAGCTGGTACATTAAGTGTCAAAATATAAATGAAAAGAGAATATATTTTTCAGTGTCCCTTTGACACATGCTATAACAACTTGTGTTCCGATTACACCGAAAAATTTCTCCTTTCAAAGATGTTGAGAGATGAAAAATGGTTCAACACTTCAATTTCCGGTAGCTCTGCTCAATACAGGTTTCAGATTATCAGAAAATGTTCTAATCAATTAGAATCCGATGGTACGAGTTTTCTGATAATTTTGTTCTTCTGTTTCGAATAAATTCAGTTTTATACAGCCGCGGTACTCATTCGAGGGATTAATAGAACTCTATGACAATGCTCAGGAAAGATTATAAAGGCATGAACAAGGGAATCTGTGGACGTGATTAAAGGGAAATCTGTGGACGGGATTGTTCTTCCTTTGCCAATCTGTCTACAACTTTCCGAGCCACATCCACATATGCCTTCGAGACATCAGAATCAGGAGCTGATATTACTATTGGCACGCCATTGTCGGAGCCCTTTCTGATCCCTACTTCCAACGGTATCTGAAACGATAAGCAGTTTGATTAAGAAAACTTAATTAACACATAGGTACAACTCATCTCAGATACACCGATACAAATCCTGTTACGTGCATTTTGTATAAATATAGGATCAAGCGGAGAAAATGGAAACACAAAGGGTCATGAAAGCTTATTTGATTTAGTTCACTAATCACCAAAGCACTTCTGAAGAAGCCCTTCAAGTGGCGTGTGCAACACACACCATGGCACTCATATTATCTTATATGCGTTCCATTAAACTACCACGAGGTATGTATGTTGTGCAGATTGACATTCATGGTATCGTTGCAAGAAAAGAAATCTGGTTTGCAGCAAAACAATATGCGTTCAGCAGAGATTTTAGAAAGTGACAAGCAAAGAGTCTTGATACCATGGAGATCTAAAAGTTCTACCCTCCTACTCTAATCAAAATAACCATGAAATAGATGAAACTAAGCATACCTCGCCAACAAAGTCCAAATCCATCTCAGTTGCCGTCTTACGAGATCCTCCTTCCCCAAAAATGAACGAACATTCGGCACAGTGTGGACACTTAAAATAGCTCATGTTCTCTACAATTCCCAAAATCTACAAAAGCAATTCAAATTTAATTATCTTAACAATTACATCATTGATGATCTCCACAAACTTACAATGACAATGCAAACATATTAAGAGATGATCTAAGAATAATAAAATCATACAGGAACTTCGACTTTAGAGAACATGTTAATTCCTCTACGGGCATCCATTAATGCTACATCTTGAGGCGTTGAAACAATCAATGCACCTACCAACAAACCAGTAATTGTTATGGAAAACCAAATGATAGTTGTGAAACCAAGTTCATATTGGAATGGTAAAACTGGACTTTTACTTGGATCTTCTTGGGGAGGGGGGGGGGGGTCTAGGGTCACTAGTCTGTATGTCTTCAGAAACCAGAAAACTTTGGTATCTAATATTTATAAATATAATAGCATTATAATTTACATATAAATTCCTTCTTATATGATTAGGCCAACCATGCTGAAAAATTATAGGACATTTAGAGGCTGAAGGTGAGAGAAGCGATTGCGGTATTTTGATAGTTTGCTAAATGCATTTAACATAGATTGAAGATTGCACAAGATTCTGAGGAACAAGATACGAACCTCAGCTATCAAAGTAGATACTACCTAAACCAAATGAGGGAAATTTGAACACAAGTACAAAAGCATTTTGAGGTTATGATCTTCAACTACCTGATAATTGCAGCCTTTGGGAGTTATATGAGCATCACCAGTGCCAGGAGGCATATCTACCACAAGAATATCAAGATTTCCCCAGTTAACCCCCCTAGTCATTTTTTCAAGAGCGCTTGATACCTGTAAGAATTAAACCAAAACACTATGAGAAAAAAATGAATTGGAAAAGCACATTATTCTTACCACATGTAACTATTAGAAGACTAATGTACAATAATATAGAGACCATACGACCAATTGATGTTGTTTAGAGTCAGACCACATGGTGAGAATAAAACATATTAAGAATTTACATAACACCCACAGTCAAACATATTTATTACTTGTGATCATTTAACACCATATTTGCATGAGAAGAGATCATCATTTAGACCAGTTACCACCTTAACTGTCACCAAATGACAATCCTGTATCTTCTTGGCAGCTCTAACACATTACTGATTATCACATCATTATCAAGATATTCGGTATTCCGACTTGAATTAGTGAGTTGCTGCTATATTTACCCTGGCCTTTCTACCTTCTTGAAACTTTCCATTACCTTTGGGTGTTTTGTTCATTTTCTCTAAATAATAACAAATTTCTTAAACCCCTGCACAAAAATTTCAAAACTCATAGCAACCAAATATTTAACAATTAATAAATAAGTGATATGTGTGTGTGTGTGTGTGTGTGTGTGTGTGTGTGTGTGTATGAAGACTCATGCACACGCATACAAACACAAGAAAAGAGTCAGCTTGGTTACATTTCAAAGGGAACCTCACTTCAACTAATTAGTTTGCATTCTTGCAAGATTAGGAGGAAAATTATATCAGGGGTTGGAAACAAAATCTCTTAAACTGTGCTTAAATAATGATGCAGTCTACACACTAGCACTCATTATTAAAAGGTAGCACCAACAATCAAGTTATGACAAGGGATATAAAATTATATAAGCAATTAAGCAATAAAAGACTTAAGAGTTTGCAAAGTTATACCATAGGACCTCTCCAAACAAGTGGGGCATCCTTATCCACAAGAAGTCCCATTGACATACACTTGACTCCATAGCTCTCGATTGGAATCATTTTTTTATCTGGTAGAAGACGACTATAATGTTAATATTCTCAAGGGTAGCATTAAGGAAGCAATAAATAGTAGGAAGTGTATATGTCTGGTGCTTTTGTATGTCTTAGATATTAGATGTTTGCTTCATAATAGAGATAATACCGGATCTAACAGAAGACGCAAACCATGAACTTGTTATCTAATATGTTTGTGTGGGAATGTAGAGGGATACTTGTTTATAGGACTTGTCTTCTGCTGAGCCCAAAAGTTTGACTTGATTATGAAATGACACATGCTTACACTGCAGAAAATGTGAAAAACTAAATTCTTGCAATGCCTATGTAATGACTGGCTTAACAAAAAGAAGAGGTTGATTATACTGTGAAGTGCAAAGACTCCTCTGGTACAGGAAGCTTTTGGAGATACTCAAACTGATCAGAAATCTTAGCTGCCATGTTATCTCCATTTACACTTATTTCAAGATTGACCAGATAAATTATAATCTCTTAAGTGAACTCAAGAAAAATAAACAAATACCGTCAGTCACTTCTGGCTTTCTGTCGAGCTTCATCATTATGGGAACATTTGGTCCATATATGTCAGCATCAAGCAAGCCAACCTTCATCTGGCACTTGTTAGCAAGTGCAACAGCCAGATTAACTGCAATTCCAACCATTACGCATAAGTTATTCTGAATCATCAGAATCATACAGTAAGCATTGCCGTGGAGTTCTTTTGCAAGACTTAAATCTTCAAAATGTGAAATCACCGAGATGGTAAATCCTAAACTTTCATGCCTATTTTACCATCTAAAATTGGAGTCACTTATAGCTACCTCGCAACTCCAGCACCTAATAATGCAAAGACACCATTTTTTTTTTCATCTTTTCAATGACAAAATTAACCAAAACAGCAGAAAATAATCAAAGACGTTCAGGAGTTTAGTAGTCCTCAGCTCACCACTATCCGGAAACTTATCCTTCTGGAGACCAATGCAATCACAAAAAGGGTGCGTATTTACACAATTTCAGTATAACCCAGATAGCTAAAATGCTCACAAACTCAAAAATTTCAACCCTTTATAGATATTAACATGTAAACGAAAACCATATCGGTAAAAATCCAAAAATGTGTAAAAACAAAATGGTACCTGCAGTGGTGGACTTTCCCACACCGCCTTTACCAGAAGCGACAGCAATGGCATGCTTAACCCCCTCAATCCGAAGGTCCTTCCTCGCCGAGCTATAACCCCTAACACCTCCTCCAACCCTCTGTGCAAACACACACATTCATTCAATCACACAACACAATAAGCTCCTTCCGCAAACTCCAAGCAAAAAAGCAAACAACTTTCGGAAACCCACAAAGCAGAAGACTTACAGTGAAGGATTTGAGCAGTCCCCTCATCAATTTCAAGCTTCTTCAGCAAATAGTAGACTGTGAGACTGTGTGCTTTGTGCTTTTTTTTGTGCGGGTTTAGGATTTAGAGTTTGAGTCGGTTGTTGTTGTTGGGACTTGTAAGATTGGATTGAGTCCCACATCGACGGAGGGAAGGAGAATGGGGAGAGGGGAGAGAGTAGAAAATAGGAGGGGGAGGGAACTTACTCCATACTTACCTGGACGGGGTCTATGGGTGATCAAGAAGGCCCATGGCCTGGGTTGGTGGCCTCCATTGCACTTAGGAGGGGTGCCCGCCTATGGTCTCCCCAAAGTGGGAGAGCCAACGTCATAATTTGTGGCAGTGGGGGCCTGCGTACGCGCGGCCCCTTCCAATTCCTAGTTCACTTTTTTAATATAAGGAATTTTAATGAAAGTTTAAGATATTATTTAATTTAACAAAAAATTATATTTTTTACATTAAAAAGTTAATCTTGATACTATTTATTTTATTTTTTATTTTGTTCTTATCATTAAAACTTAAAGTTTAAATTTTTTTTATTAGTTTTTTTTTTAATTTACTCTTTAATTTTGGGGATTAAACAATACAAATGCATTGGGACTTGCTATCTATAACACTAATATGGGCTTGTGTTTATAATTCTTCTTTTGGTGAGATAAAGAAAAGAACATGATGGCTTTCTCTTGTACATGATGATATTTTTCTCCATTTGTAATGAAGGGTAGCTGCTTCATCTTACGAATGAAAGCACTTGAACTCTGATGCTGCTGTTAGCTTTGTCATTTGTTGATAATAGGGGTGTTGATAAATCGTGTTTCGGTTAACTCAATGATAATTAGAGGTGTCAATAGAGACGTGCTCTGGTTGACTCATTCATATTTGTGTCACATTTGTTCTAATTCACAAGTTAATCGACAAGCAAAACAATATGAAATAATAATAACACATTAACTCGTATTATTTATCAAAAAATGAAAATTTTACCATTCTATTTATATAATATTAGTTGTACAATGTTTTTGTTAGCTATAAAATAATATACACATCGGTCTCATATCGTGTGAATCTCAATTCGTGTCTAAAATTGTCTCCCCCAATGACAACGAATGGAAGTAGAGTGCATAAGTCGCTTCTGACATAAGAGGGAGTAACAGACAACCCATTGTATTTGTAACAACTTCATCCAAAGAGACATCGATAAAATAGCTCAATTTATAAATTAAACTTCCAATAACAACTTTAGTTAAAAAAGTTGATTTACAAGTAAATATGAATGACTCCTTAAAAGCTACCTCATACATGTTACATTCTTACAAGTTACAAGTATTTGTGATTGTGTATAATTATTAACCCACAAATTACAATTGAATTGGTATTAGTAATTTAGTAAAAGGAAAAGAAATAGTCGGCATTGGACGTGTGAGATCAGCTGTCAACATGCACGATCTGACAGGTGAACCCATTCGTGCCCCCATCCATGCATCTCACCAACAATATCACAAGAATATAATAACAAAATATCATTTGTTTGTGAAAGACCAAATCCTCTTCTCTTTTATTTTCTTTTAAAGTAAAAATGAGATGTTTTTGCTAACCGTTCTCAAGTAACGGTGAGCCTCACCACTTTATTTATCATCGTTAAATAAGTTTAAATTTTGGGATTTGTGTCGAAAACGGACACAAATCTCAAAATTTAAACTCATCAAATAGTAATAAATAGGATGGTAAACATTACCACCACTTGAGAGTGGGTGAGAAAAAATGCACCCAAAGCAAAATGACGTTGCTATTGGTAATTCGAAACATAGTACACATTTTTTCTCTTGTTTATTTTAAAATTTATATCCTAAAAATAACATTTTTCAGCATGTCAATAACAATTTAAAGACTAAATTCTCTTACTTAAATTTGTTGTAACACAACATTTAACACTACAGTCTAGAGCCATTCGATACTACTTTTTGATTTATTAGCGGAAGGTTTTAAATTCGGTTGACAAGTTTGACGCTAAATTATAAACTCCATAAATCAATAAAATATCAAAAAACTTGTTTCTAGATAAATGAATAACACAGTTGGCCACGTTGTGGGATTTTATTACGTGTTAATTCATGAGCCAGCTAAAGCTTGGAGCTTCGCTTTAATTGGCATCCAAACAAATCTTCCGGCGGTTGGTTTCAACGGTCAGTCACTTTCCCTTCCCACGCAAGGACCTGCTCGTAATTCCTCCAAACTTTTCATTTTCCTCCTCTTGTTTGTTCTTTCATGTTTTTATTCCGAAGTTGCGTTTCTTCCCCTTTCACCTTTTGATCCTCCGTCAAGCTCCATTCCAGGTACCACCCACTTTCTCTGTTTTTCTTTCCCTTTCCTTTTTTTGTTCATCTTTTTTCCCATTGCATTTTTCATGAGTTAATTAAACCCGAGAAATCATCAAAGGTGTAAACTTTAATTTTGTTCAGAATAACACTAATCTGGGATTTATTTGTTTTCTGAAATTGCAATGCACATTGTGTTGGATTGGATGATGCCCTTTACGTGGTCTTTTTTTTTGTGGGTTGTTTTGTTTGAAATTCCTTAATTTTATAGATTTTTCGAAGAATTTAATATGTGGGCAATCTTTCATACGCTTGAAACATTAGAATTTGCAGAAAAGTTTATTGCTTTGTTCATGAATCCATCTGGGTTTCTCACATTAATTGGGTTAGGTGAGTATCGTTTTGTTTTATTTATGGTTTATCGTTGTTTGTTGATTTGTCATTGTTTATAACAGTTGGGATGGTTAGAGTTTAATGTCTGATTGTCTTCTGGTACTTGTTGTTAGTGGCTTCTGTCATGGTTGGTGATGCACAATTTATGTGTGATTTATCTATTTATTATTTATTTTTCGTTCAATGCGGTATTCTGAATTACTCTGATCTTTGGGGCGGGGATTTGAACTCGGGCTCTAAAACTGTCCTAACTCACATCTGTCTGCATTGAATTTATTTTATGTTTTTAATTTCATCTGGTACTGTTTCTAGCTTAGCTGCAGTACTGTGATTTGATAATTATGGTTTGATGTGCCTAATTGCTTCATTTGTTTCTTTTCTTGGGCTGGTGATTGAAGATGGGATGCTTAATTCTGATTTGGGTGGATAGGAGCAGCTATTACCTTGATCAACCAGTGATTTCCTCGAGTTTTTGTAACTGGAAGGTCATGAGATTGTAGAGCAATTGGTAGGCAGATGGCAGCAAAGGGAAATCCATCTGTACATGTGCAGAAGAACTTAGAGGGGTTTGTAACCATTCTAACATCTGCAGCATGTGAATGGGTATTGATCTTTCTTCTGCTTGTTGACGGACTATTATCCTATCTGCTGACTAAATTTGCAGACTATTGCAATTTGCAAAAGCCTTGCATCTTTTGCTCCAGGTTTGAGCATGTTATAGGTAGTGAAAAACCTCAACTTTATCAGGATCTACTTTGCAGCAACCACGTATCTGAGTTCTCATCATGGTTCTCTTGTCAAATTTATGGTAAGCACGATCGCAGTGGAATGTGTGAAGATTGCCTCAAGTCATACACCAAAAAGGGCAAGTCCAACCCCGAAAAACACATGCTTTCGGGTGGTAAATCGGATTCTGATATTGGAAGTTCCAGTTCAAGGAGGTCCATGCAGAACAGAAAGTTTGTCCATAGTTCTGTGGGTGCAAGGACATGCTCTTGTTGCAGTAGGCCTTGTAGACCTAGAGAAAATGCTCGTGGACTACAACGAAAATCATCTGCTTCCAAACCTAATATCCCTTTGCCACGTTTTTCAAGCCGTAGTCGTATACCTCGTAGGGATGGTTCAAAGAAGACCAGGGATAAAACTTCTGGATCAGTAACTACTTGTCGTCCTGGAAAACCTGGCTGGGATCCCTTGCCACATAGAGGACACAGAGAGTTAAGGATTAGTTCTGATACTGACTCCACTCTTCGTCCTGGAAATTTTAGCTGGGATCCCTTACCACATGTAGGATACACTAAGTTGAGGATTAGTTCTGATACTGACTCCACTCGTCGTGCTGGAAAACTTGGCAGGGATCCCTTGTCACATGTAGGATACACTGAGTTGAAGATTAGTTCTGATACCGATTCTGAGATTCCATTTTCTGATGAAGACGGTGGTAGAAGCATAATTATTGGAAATGAGGAGCATCAGAAGGAAGCTTTAGTAGATCAATATGCTTCAGAAAAACCATTCAAAGCACAGCCAAATGGTTTGAATCCAGCAAAGCAGAGCAACATTACCACCAACCATAAGCCTTCACTTTCTGTTCCAAGTGTGCAGCCAGATGGTAGCAAGAGGTCTGATATAAAATTCTTAGGTTCGAATGTTGCTTCAGAGAATGGCTTGGATGAACTTAACTGGCAGCAAGCGAGTCAGAATTCCATCCCTTATGCATTCCCTGAGCTTATTTCACTGGATGATATCCCTCCATCATTTAATGTTGTTGAAAAGGGTAAGCTCAACTTTCCACTTTTCGGATTCCAGTTCATCCGAGTTATATGAGCTTATTACTTATTACATTGATCCTCTTTTGAAATTATTTAGCAGGTTTTACTGGGACAAGTGACTTTGGAGATGCATCCATCAGTAAAAACGATGAGCTTTTGAGGTCTATAAGTGCAACAGATGGAGCACCTATTAAAACTGATCTTATCATCAACGATCCAGATCTTACTAAGCCAAATCATACTAATGGAAATGCTGTGTCTGAGTCAGCAGGCATTGGTAAGGAAGGAGATTCTATTAAAGAACAACCTCCAGTGAAGGTACTTGATAGAGTTGATGGGGAAGTGAAACCAGCGCACTCACAAAGTTCTTCTGCTCAGGAGACAAATTTATCATCAAATAATACAATTACAGGGGTACAAGGTGTTGGTGATGAAAAACCGGTAGCTGATGCTTCCAATTCTTCTGCTCAGGAGAGTAATTTATCATCACATAAAACAAGTTCAGCGGTACTTGGTGTTGGTGATAAAACACTGGTAACTGATGCTTCCAAATCTTCTGCTCAGGAGAGTAATTTATCATCAAATAATACAATTTCAGCGGTATGTGGTGCTGGTGATGAAAAGCCGGTACCAGATGCTTCCAACTCTTCTGCTCACAACTGTAGTTTATCATCAAATAATACAATTTCAGGGGTACGTGGTGGTGGTGATGAAAAGCAGGTAACTGATGCTTCCAATTCTAATCCAAATCTGGGGCTTAAAACATCATGGTCAGTAGAATCTCTGGATGGAGGATATGTCAGTGAAATTGAAGGTGAAAGTATTGTTGATCGGTTAAAACGACAGGTTGATTATTATAGAAAAAGCTTAAAGGAGTTGTTTAAGGAACTAGACGAAGAAAGGAATGCCGCTGAAATTGCTGCAAATCAGGCAATGGCCATGATCACAAAGCTACAAGAAGAGAAAGCTGCAATCCATATGGAGGCCCTTCAGTACTTAAGAATGATGGAAGAGCAGGCTGAGTTTGATGTAGATGCACTTGAAAAGGCCAATGATCTCCTAGCTGAAAAGGAGAAACATATACAGGACTTGGAAGCAGAGCTAGAATTTTCTAACTTCGATATCCCAGATGAATCAACAATGGAGAGTATGCCAATGCCGGAATTGCCAGCATTCCCAGTATTGCAGGGAAAAAGTTGTAATTTGAAAGGTGAGATTGACACAGTGGAGAGTACTGTTGTTCCCGGTGTAAAAAGTGATGTCAAAGTTACTGGTAACTCAACAGTTACTGAGGTACCTAAAGCTAGCAATGAACGCCTTTTTTCTGAGACAACACTTTTAGAATTTGAAGATGAAAAGTTGTACATTTCAAATTGTTTGAAGAGCTTGGAGAGGAAGCTTTCCGAGATTTCCTGTAATGGGGCTTCTACCAGCATGCCTAACGGTGGGCATTCTAGAAAGCATACATATGATGGACCAGATCAAGTAGAGACGCCTAGAAAATTTAGGCTTCTATTAAATGGTCAGATTGAAGAGGAAGTTGTGCTGACACCGAATGATTTACACATATCTAACGGAAGTGCTGCTCCTCAAGAGGGACCAATTCATTCCGATAGCTCAGACTGTGAAGAGGAAAAAGATTCAGATTTGGTTGTTCTGGAAAACGAAATCTCAGACCTTAATGACAGGTTGGAGGCACTCGAGACTGATCATGATTTTCTTGAGCACATGCTTTACTCTCTTCAAAATGGACAGGAAGGGCTGCAGTTTATTCAAGAGATAGCTCAGCAGCTGCGAGAACTGCGAAAAATTGGTGCAGCTTTCAGAAATCAGTCTGTTCCCTAACTTCAAATGAAAAATTACACAGTACGTATGTTGTCCAAGGACTTAAATGTGCTTTTGCTTCTGCTTAATGTGTTTTCCAACATTTGCTTTACCATTCATGCATTCTTTTGTCAGGTACACTTGAAATTTAGAAGGCAGAAATATTGATACATCTCTCGAGCATTTGGGTGTCAAATGAAGAAATCAATTGCATTCCTTCAGTCACATACAACCATGAAAAATCAAAATGATTTCATGTACAGGTACCAGCCAAAGCTCTTGGAAGGAAAAACAAAATCAAGGTCTATACTAGGACATAGCGTTATCATCTCGTAAGTGCGCAATTTTCCATCGTCTCTTTCTTTTCTCTAGGTCGAAAATTTCCCTCTTGTTTGTTTGGAGAACCGGCAGGTTTTTAGCAAGTTCAAATTTATTGATAAGGCTGTAAAATTAGTATTTTTGTGTAGTTGCTATTTCTTGTTCTCAAGGTTAAGGCTCCATTTTTTGCCGAACCACTTCCTTTGTAAATTCAAGCAGAGCTTTTACAGTAAGTTTAGAGAAGTTTTCTCCAGAGCTTTCCCAAAATAGGTGTTCATGTACTGCATATTCCTCATTATAAATTTCTTGCCATGGATGATAATGCGTGCACAGCACGTCTATCTAACCACCTCGTCATTTAACACCAGCTTGGATACAAGAAGTAACTTTACATGTTGCGTGTGTGCATCACGTCCATTTGCCTCCCTTGTCATGTGCACCTCACATGACGAGAGAGATAAAGATTGAATTAGCCCTCACACGTCTATCTCTATCATCATGTAACGCTTCACTTGATGTGAGAGGGAGGGAGGTTGACATTTTACTTTGTTTCATGGGAGAAAAGCTTCAGTCCAAAGCAAATTCAATCAATAAAATTGACGTCACACTCACATTGTCAGTTACTTTTGTCACAAATTTTCAATAACAAAACCAATAATACCAATAATTATAAAAGGAAAATTAATGAAAAAAGTTTAAAAACTTTGAGTTTTAACGATAAGGACAAAATAAAGGGTAAAGTGAATAGTATCATGTTTGACTTTTTAGTGTAAAAATGTGATTTTTCGTTAAAGTAAACAGTACCATGAGTTTTTCGTTAAAGTTTCCAAAATGACAAATTACTAATTGATAATGTTGTAAAATAATGGGTATGTTTGCCCACATGTATATAGTAACTCTTTCACAAGTTTAATAGTGTCATTTGTTTGTTTCCTATGAGGTTGCTCTATAAATAGAGCATTACATTTGATCAAATTAGACTTGGAAGAGAAAAACAACTAATAGCAATAATATACATTACTTCATCTGCAATAGCTTGTGTTGGTATAATATTTTGCAACTGCTTCGTTCTTGTCCCTTGTAAAGGTTATCTTTCTAAATTTTACCTATTTATAACAGATAACATGTAATCAGACCAACCAAATAAACAAAGTTTGTATGGGAAGTGATTAGTGAATGCACATAAACATTGAAGTAAGTTTGACTTTTGGCAAGACCATGACGTCTAGAGTGAGATCTGCGACCCTTGGATCATGGCCTTCAACAAGACCATATTTTCGTGGGACAATAATTGTTTGCCCTTCCATTTTCGATGTCTTTCCGTGTCCTTTTGTTTGTGTGATCATGGTTAAATAATGTTATTATTTTATATTACTATTTATTTTTGTCTTATCATCTTTATAAAAAAAAACAATATAAAATATTAATGTAGTTTAACCGTGACCACACAAAATAGTAGGGCATCGAAAATGGGAGGGCAAACAATCCTTGTCTATTTTCGTGACCGCAGATTTACCCTTTAGGCTTTCCGTACATGCATCCTTCATCGTCTTTGTGATGGTTTTGCCTACGTCTTTCTTTCATTTTCAAGGGCCACCGCTTGTCTTCTATAGGCTGCTGTCCATGTGGAAAGTGAACAGACGTTCAGGTTGGGGTGAGAGTTAAAAGAGATATAGGTGGTGGGCTCCAGGATGTTATTTTATTTTTGGATAATAAAATAATAAATAAAATTTTGTAAATTAAATGATATGGAAGTTAATGATTATATTATGACTTAAACGATAAACGTGTTTATTCTTATGACATATAATTTAGTTTCTAAATTTTATCTATAAATTTAATTTTCTTAACCTTACTCTTTATTTTTATTTGTAAGGTTGTGAATAAAGTTATATCTGGAAAAATATAATTTTTGTTTTTAGGATTTTTTTTTTCAACAAATGATTGTATGAACACTAAGGAATATGAGAGTGAGCTAAGCGCTAGCCATCATAATGTTGTTTAAATTCATTTTTAGCGTAAATTGAACTTAAATTCTTTTAATTTTAAGTGAAAAGAAATACTGTTAGACTATATGACTAATTGACACGTTTTTAGAGAATTAATTTCTTAGATTGAACTGCAAGTGGAGTTCATGTGGCAAGATAATAGTGGAAAAGGTAAGAAGAAAAAGGCAAATAGAAGGTAGTTAACATTTCTAAATTGGATAATACGAACCCATATTATGGACAAATTGTGGAGAACAAAGGTTAATGTTTTTTTCTTAGGAGGGTGCATTTAATTGAGAATTTGAAAGATTTTAATGGATTTTTATGAAGTTTAATTGATTTGTAGATATTCTATAAAAAATTTTGATTCAATTATCTCAAAATCTCATGGGGAGAGGTGAGATTTGTGGATGTTTAAAATATACTACGAAATCTCTCAAATTCCCTCTAATTCCTCAACTTTATCAAATTCTTTAAAATCAATTTCTAATTGAATACATCTAAAATGTTATAAACTCATTTAAAATCCTAATGGAATACACCTGGATTTCTAGGGATTTTAATAAACTATCTTAAAATTCTAATTGAATACACATTGAATTTCAAAGAATCACTTAAAATCCTGATTGAATGCCACTAGATTCATTAAAAGAATTAAAATCCCTCAAAATCCCAATTGAATACATCCCTCTTAATTTATTTTCTTATAATTAGTGTAAGAGTTAGATAATTGGTATTAGTACTTTAAAATTTTTATTGTGCACCTTAAAATTTCATAATATCAAAATTTATCGTTCGTCAAAAAAAAAAAAAAAAAATCATAGGGCCAAAACTCGCCATCCATGTACCAGATGTCTTTGGGGCGTTTAGATTTAAATGCCTCAACATATATACCTTTTAGAATTTTTATTAAACATTTTTACATTTCAGGTGCCAAATATATTATAAGTAGTGTTTTTTAATGCAAAATTACACAATTTGCCATATATATAATTTACCAATTAGCTAATAATTATCCAAATTTCCTAGAATCTAGTAGACATATGTTTTAAAAATCTAAAAACATATCAAATTTGATTTATTTATGCTTCTAACGTGATATATATTTATGTTCTTCTTTCACAAAAATTCTACAATTTTTTCGTGCCATTTCTTTTCTGTCAGTCGATACTTTTCCGTCCTCCTTGGTGAGTCATGTTCATTCCCTTTCTATTTTCATTTGATGCAAACCTCTTGATTTGAGTATTCGTACCATGATACATTTGAAAAATAGATTCTAGTGGTAGATGATATGGGGTATGTTTCCATTTAGTATTGGTACATTTCTAGCCGATATGTTGGTACATTTTAAGTTGGCATAGGCACATTTCATATTAGCATCACTACGTTTCAATTTGGCATGAGTACATTTCTAGACAATATGTTGGTACGTTTCAAGTTGGCATGGGTGCGTATCCTATCAGCATTGCTACATTTGAATTTGGCATCGGTACAATTCAAGTCATATTAGTACATTTCAACATGGCATGAGTACAATTCAAATTAGAAACTAATATATTTAAATTTGGTTTCAATTTAAAATTCACATTCATATATCTCATACCGAATGACATTAATCTCATTCCAACTAATCCCTTTTGTCAACAACTTTTATGCAAATTATATTGTACTACAATATTTTAAAATCACTTGTTTTCTGTTGCATACTACACAACCATGCAATCAAACTAGAACTCAACAAGATAAATGTAGCGTCTATGGTGTTTTTATCATGTTGGATTGGCTATCTCCATTTTTTCTGCTGATGTAAGTTTTTTTCGTGAACAATGAAGTTTTATTATAAAAAAATAAATGTTAAAAATTCAAAAATTAAGAGATAATATTGATGATTTAATAATTAATATCTATTAATTATTCAACATCCCTTAAAAAGACACAAATGTTTAATAAAAATACTTAGTGGCCACTAATCAAAGCGTCTTTACCAATTGGCCAGCGTACCAATGACGGTTTCGCTTACGCATTCATGTATTTATCAATTGGTCAATATCCATGATGTGAACATTTTATTTGTCAATTGACCAGTTTGATAATAAAAACTGCTTATCCCAAAAGTTTTTTTTTCTTTTTCTTTTTTTAATTTTTTTTAATTTTTAAATTTCAATGCAAAGTGATTAGTCTGATAATTTGCTTAAACAAAACAAACTCAGACGTTATAAATAGCATCCAAATCTTACACCAGAAACGGTACAATTTCTTCCGTTAAGCATTTCGTCAAACACCTTAAACCCTTCCATTTCTGTGCATTAAATCAGGCAGCCATGTTTCTTGAGCTGTTAACCTTCGCCTCCCTCCTCCTCCTTCCCATCCTTTTCTTCCTCTTCAAGTTTTCATCCCACCCCAACCCCAAAACCAGCAACCTCCCCAAATCGTACCCTATAATCGGCACATTCCCATCTCTCTACAAAAACCACCACCGCAGACTCCAGTGGTTCACCGACCTCCTCCGCAGCTCCCCATCAAACACCTTCACCCTCCACCACTCTTTCGGCCGCCACTGGGTCGTCACCGCCAATCCCACCGTTGTTCAGCACATCCTCAAGACCAACTTCCCCAACTACCAAAAAGGTGAGGCTTCCCGCTCCACCCTCGCCGACCTCCTCGGCGACGGGATTTTCAACGTCGACGGCGACAACTGGAAGTTCCAGCGCCAAGTCTCCAGCCACGAATTCAACACCAAGTCCCTGCGTAAGTTCGTCGAACAGGTGGTCGATACCGAGCTCTCTGACCGCCTCATTCCGATCCTCTCCGCCTCCGCCGCCAACAATTCAGTCCTCGACTTCCAAGACATTCTCCAGCGCTTCGCTTTTGATAACATCTGTCGAATTGCTTTCGGGTACGACCCGGATTACCTCCTGCCCTCTCTGCCCGAAGCCAAATTCGCAGTGGCTTTCGACGACGCCGTGCAAATCAGCAGCGAAAGGTTCGGATTGCCGCACCCAGTGTGGAAACTCAAAAGGGCTCTCGGAATCGGGTCCGAAAAGCGCCTCCGTGCCGTGGTATCGGAAGTCCGCGAGTTCGCGAACACCATTGTCAGAGAAAAGAAGAGGGATCTGAGCGAGGCGAACGCGTTGGAGTCTGCAGATCTGCTCTCCCGGTTCTTGAGCTCCGGCCACTCCGACGAAAAGTTCGTCACCGACATCGTCATCAGCTTCACCCTCGCGGGCCGGGACACAACTTCGGCTGCTCTCACCT